TGAGATGTCATCTGAAATGCTGACATTACTAAAGTTCTTCACCCAGTTTGACTGAGTGTTGAGCAAAATTTTCAATCTGTCATTTAGTAACCTGTCAAACTTACGTATATTAGAATTTTCGATAGACTGGTACAATGTATTATAATGTTTTAATTGCATCGATTAAATATTATTGAAAATTAAGGGGGAAGTGAGAGAAATGATTTCAGTTTTCAAAGATTTAAGGGATGAGTGAAGTTTTTTTAATTGTTTATGACAAGAAGAAATTTCAAGAGATAGTATCTTCTCACCCAACCTTTGTAGAGGATATAGTAGCCCATCTTCTGCAAAGTGATTGTGTATGATGTGGTTTATGGATGTTACGAGGTTTGTTCAAAAAGTATCGCGAATTTCATGTTTTTTCAAGAATTATTTATTTATTCATGAATATCTATTTTGTGTGCTTCAAAGTAATCCCCATCGGACATTATACACTTGTGTTAACGTTTTTTCCAATCCTCGAAGAATTTTGAAAAATCATTTTTTGTTATCTCCTTCAGCTCCTCCTTCGATGCCGTCGTTATCTCCTCAATCGTGGCGTAGCGTCGTCCTTTCATGGGCCTGGTTTCGGAAACAAGAAAAAGCCACAGGGGGCCAGGTCGGGGAAATACGGTGGATGAGGCATTGTTGGAGTGTTGTTTTTGTCCAAAAATTCGCGCACAAATAATGATGCATGAGCATGGGCGTTATCATAGTGCAAAAGCCAATTTTTGTTCCTCCACAAATCCGGGTATCTCTGGCGGATTGCTTCTCGCAAATCGCGCATTACTTGAAGGTAATATTCCTTATTGACCGTTCTATCCTGCTGCAGGAACTCATCAATGTTTTCGTCTGTTGTTGACGTACTCGGGCGTCCAGAACGCTTTTCGTCGCTCGCATCTTCTCGGCCCTCTGGGAGCATTTTGTACCACCCATAATAGTTGCTTTTGTCTAAAGTAGCTTCGACGTATGCAACAGTAAACATTTGGAATATGGCTGCGCACTTTAACCGTTTTTTACACAAACTTTAATACAAATTCTTTGATCCATTTTTTGGAATAGACAAAAATCGAAGACAAGCTAAAACACGTCCTCGCACAATAGCTTTCAAAAACTGACTGAACATTCAAAATGGCCGATATTGTCAACATTAGTGAGGGTCATGAGTACCAACATAACGCCATAAAAAGATCAAAAATCGAACCTACGTAGCCCGCGAAAATTCAAAATTTGCGATACTTGTTGAACAAACCTCGTATACGATGGTTGAACTGTGGTGGTAGGATGCTGTTCTTCCTGCACTTTATGAAGAAAATACGTCTGTTTATCTCATGCGCTAAGCGTTTTCTGTACTTGATCCAGTCCTACAGCAAAGTAACTGAGAGTGTCCCATATCGTTCTTCGATGTGTTGGAAGAATCCCAAATCTGTGGATATCCCAAATTGATTTTCGATAATTTTTAATGCGATCGGGTGTATTGATATATAGTGTTAACACCTAACGATGGTTTCCGTCGTTATCAATAAACCCAATGTGTCCGTCCTTTTGGTTTTGTATTTGTTACAATTGCTCTCATCCATGCTTTCGTTTTGAAACACCATTTGGCTGCAACCTCAGCGACGAGTAAGTTGTCTGATAATTTAAATCCTTCCCGTGTTGGTTGCTAGCATCATACTTGTGTTTTCAGCTCCTGAAGATGGCTCCATAGAGAATGCCGAAATCTCGAGTTTACCGTTGAAAGAGTTTACTGAAGCCTAAAAATTTTTGCCGATTTCCCAAGTAACAATTGATTGTACACATATTGTATATACATACCGTGTTTTATGGCTTTTAACGATGCCATTTTCTACCTGGTAAAATTCAAATATGGATGATGAATTGATACACTACATATTTCTACTTATTTTATAAATTCTCTTTTTTCAGCTTTTTTATCCTCCGTTACGAAACTTGTTCATCCCTGTGTTCCTGAACTGCTGGTTGGCTAAGCATGCACTGGAAAATATGTTTGTAAGTATAATTAATATATAGATATTATCATAGTTAATACCATAGAGGCATCTAATTTTTCGAAAAAATACGCTGCTGCTAAGTAGTATTTGAACAAGCAGCATGAATGTATTTTGTTAAAAAAATATTACTTTGCAATGTGTTTTTTCGATTTTTGCCACAGTTGCCCGAATGATATTTGACAAGACTATTTCATGAGTAACAGTTTATTCTACATATACCTAGCTTGCAAAAAATACATACATGCATACATAATAAATATGTAGGTATTAATTTGAAAACTGAAAAACCGGTATATTATTTAATCACGAAATACTACAAACTTAATTATTTATAGTATAATTAAAATATAAATTGCAATTTTGGTACACAGTAGGAGTATTGTTTGAAATCTTTGTTAACTCATTAATAACGTTGGGTGTAGGTAAATTATTAATGTTGATGGGTTCAGCAGTAGGGTGAGAAGCTCAATAAGTGGGCTGCAGGGTCTTCTGTTTTCTGTTTTTTGCTAGAGGTTCTGATGCGTCATTTCTAACGGTGTTTATGATGTTGAATAATGCTTATTATCCATTTGCAGATAAGGCTTGAGTCAGCTGAACTGTGGCCAGTATTTTTTCTGGTGTCCTAGGATACCATAATTACTTTTTATAAAAAGTATTGTAATTTTTGATGACGAGGTTGTCATCAAGTTTTGCCGCGGGTAAACTCGAAAAGACTGCTGGTGCTGTCATTCAACTTTCCCATCTATAAACCATTTGTAATTCAAAATTGCGCGTTTGTGATTAGTAGAAATGAAAACGAGGAAAATAGTCAGCTTAACTCCACTCTCCACTGCGTCCTAGTTGTGCTGTAGCCATATTTTTGAATTCATATAAATATGAAATATACTCTATCCAACGGGCAAGTTCAGAAAACGTTATGTCGGTGGATATTTGCGTACAACGACGACTAACAGGCTCTTAAAACCTTGTAGGTATGATTTCCTTGGCTCAGCTGTGCCAAGGAAAGAATTACTCTAGCACAGAAGAATATACTGAAAGTAGACTTGGAAATTCAGCCAACTTATACAAGAAGGTACTGGCTTTCTTTGCCCACGCTCATACTCATCCAAGGTAACATCGGTATTCCCTTCTTAAGCACAGAGACGATACCTGTCAAAAATCTAGTTCTTTGGGTTTAATAAGATTTTCGTCACTGTAACTGTAACTCATTCTAACCATAATTTAAAATACGTGCGCTGTGCCTCACAGACATATTTTCCTCTAGTGATTATCAAGGATAAGTGTTAGTACCATCATCATAACATGTAGCTATCTAATATGAGAGAGCACATCATCTTGTGTCAGTCATGAAACTTCTGGTAAGTTCTTCAAAGCTTAGACACCAAGGGAAAATTTCCCTCCCCCACTATTCAAAAAGCTCGTATATCCTACGATGTCCTTTGTCGGAACTGTATTTGCTTTTCAAAAAACTTCGGGTGCACACACATCCGCACGCTTGTACTGGAAAAATTATGCAAATGTTCATGGTAACTTTTAGGCTAGTTGTCAAACAATTAATAATAATAATCATGCGTTTATTATCCAACAGTGAATACCATTGAAGGGCAAAATGTAGTAGTATATCTTACATGATGGTTACAGCACAAGGTGAAAATATCTTAGAACAACAAAAAATAAAACCAAATAGAAGTACCACAAACATAAACAAAACAATACTGGACCAAAATCCATCAGAGATGGGATCGAGATTTAATCTTTAATTCGCAAAAGCTGCAGTGAAAAATATCGCATGTACTTGAAATTTTGTTGGCATTTCGGCACACAAAATCAATCGGAGCCTTCGATAGTAAATTATTTTGTGCGCTTTTGCAGAGGATATTATTAGAGTGCCTAGATGTTATTCTAGGAACCAGAATATCCACCTGAGCTAACAATATGGAACAATCGATTTTCAAAAGCTTATGCAAGAACAGAACAGATAACTGGTACCTACGCTTTTCCAAAGACTGATAATCCAATCTATGCTCAGGATAACTACAACCTGTTGGTGGGTACACACCATCGATTCTAAAAGCTACGAATTTAAAAAATTTCTGTTGTGATTTTTTAATAGCAATGATCTACTGGCTACTAATGGATACAAACGGGTTTAAATCACCATATTTGATTAAAAAATCACTATAGAGTAGGATCGCCTAAGAGTACGCGTTCCATAAGAATTTTTTTATTGTTATCCCTGAGAGTCGGCTGTCGCCTCGTCAGTAGTTAGTTGTTCCAAGAGTTTGTGTAGTTTTGCTGGCAATTTTTAACAAATGCGTGAAATATATGCGGAAAGAATAGTTTTTCTGAAATCACATGTAATATTTTAAACTTACTGGGTAAGTAATATTTAATTAATTCGTAAATTTTTATAAAAAATCGTAAATATGCCTTAAACAGTAATGTTTACAGTTGATCTTTAGCAACATAAAATAAAGTTTTTCTGGTTTCTGGTTGCCTAAATTTGTAACTCAGTGTTTAAATTTTTCATGTCAAGGTTCCTAAGAGTACGCAGGCAAAGAGTCATCGAACTCTTAGGATTCGTGCGTACTCCTAGGGACACATGAAATGAATTTCTTATTTTTTGTTTTAGTTTGTTATAATGGGTAAATACAAGCGAAAGAGCGACAGATCATTAACATTTACTCAAAAGGGGAAAGTAAAAAATCGGTCGCAAAGATTGCGAGAGGTAATAATAAACTGACGATTTTAACGTCAAAATAAAATTTTATTTTTATTTTAGGGTACTATTCCATTTAGTCTGGGTAGATTTAAGTCTGTATTTTCACAAGCACAGGAAAAGGAATTGTCTGACCATATCAAAGATATAGATAACAGATTTTATGGACTGCGTATAAAAGATGTTAGGTCCTTGGCTTTCAGTATGCAGTATTAAATAAAATTCCGCATAGGTTTAATACAGAAAACAAGATGGCGGGGAAACACTGGGTACAACATTTTGCAGCAAGAAATACTTTGTCTCTCAGAGCTCCAGAAAAATGCAGCTTAGGTCGCGCTATCGGCTTTAATAAAGTTCAGTGTCAGCGCTTATTCGAGAATTTTAAAATAGTTTACGAAAAATTAAAACGACCACCACACAGGATCTTTAGTATGGACGAGACGGGATTATCTACCGTACCAAACAAGCTCCCTAATGTTTATGCTTATAAAGGGAAGAAAACTGTGTCAAATGTTGTATCAGGTGAACGAGGTCAGCTAGTTACGGCTGTATGCTGCATGAGCGCTGGTGGTACTTGGGTTCCGCCAGGTCTTATTTTCTCAAGAAAAAGAATGAAGGAGGAACTTTTTTTTGGAGCACCTCCTGGGACATTAAAAATGATCTCAGATTCAGGTTATATGAACATTGATTTGTTTGTAATTTGGTTGCGACATTTTTGTGACTTTGTAAAACCATCGGAAATAGATCCAGTGGCTTTAATAATGGACAATCACACATCTCATTGCTCATTGGAGACCATTTTATTCTCAAGAAGTCATTTTATAATCCTACTAACCCTACCTCCTCATGCAAGCCATGAAGTTCAACCCTTAGATAAAGGATTTTTCTTTCCCTTAATAACAGCTTTTTCAAACGAATGCGATAAATGGATGGTCAACAACCCTGGACGTGCCATTACTCTAAAAGAAATGGCAGCCATTTTCCATTTTGCTTATACAAAAGTCACTACTATATGTGAAAAATAATTTGATTGCACTGGGTTGTTTCCTTATAATCCAGACGTTTTTAGTGATTTAGATTTTGTTCCATCTGAGGTCACAGACAGCCCACATCTAGAGCTGGCCCAAGAAACTCAATCTGAAATCGAATCATCTGTTGAAGAGAGTTCATCTGATGACGATTGCACTCTTGCAGAAGTAAGAAATACCATAATAAAAGAAAACTTAAAATTAACCGAAGAAAAGCAATCTACGATTCCCGAACCACAAAGTTCAGACGTTACTAAAAGTACAGCTTACTTTAAAGCAGCTCCTAAGGAACTAAGTGAACCAGGTACAAGTGGCTATATCCCGCCTAAATAAGATAAGGGAAAATTGTTTGAAAATGAGCAAACTAGAACACCAAGTCCAAAAAGTCCAGGCTTTACCAAAATTTCAACTTATGTTGAGGCTACGTCTGCGGCACCGATTGATCTGGGTTTAAGAGTTTGTATTACTCCTAAAATGATTTTACCGTTACCAAAAGCTACCCATGCACAAGTAAGAAGAACCTAATCTAAAAAGTCAGAAATTCTGTCATCTACCCCATACAAAGACAAATTGTTGGAAGAAAAAGACAGACGTAAAGAAGACCTAAAGAAAAAGGGCGGAAAAAGAAAAGTTTTTAGTTATTCTGGGCAAAATACAGAAATCCAGAAGAAGAAAAAAATTGACAATGAAAAAGACAATACGATTTGTCCCGGATGTTCCGAATATTATTCTAGATCCGATTGGATTAAGTGTCACTTGTGTCAAACATGGTGGCATGACGACTGCTCTAATTACCTAGGAAATGGCCTATTTTTTTGTGACTTTTGCCTATATTTAAAAAAACTAAGTTTAGGTACAGCCAATTGGGCGATATATTTTACCGCGTACTCTTTGGTTTACATGCGTACTCTTTAGGATACAATTGAGTACTCTTAAGGAACCTGTATCCTAAGAGTACGCATTTTATTGCTTTTGTTTAAAATTTTATATTTTCGTTAAATCTTAAAATGTATGGCAAAATTTGTCTTTTAAGCTTAGATTCGTATGTAAGCTAAAATATTTTAAATAAAAATTTTCACTTAAAGCATTTCAATTATTTTTAAACAAAGTAAATTGGTTAAGTGCGTACTCTTGTGCGATCCTACCCTACCTGGCCACCCTGATCAATTTGTAAGCGCATCGATGATGTCGTGGAAATGAGAGAGCTACATAAGTCTGGTTCCCTATAGGTTTAGCTTGACGCAAATATAAATAAAATAGTGATCTGCGTTTTTCGGCTTGGTAGCACTGCATGTCCGTTTGTGCCTTATTCATTCACACGTCTGAACAGGAATATAAGAAAAAACGTTTTCACGCGCAACTTTAATACTGTGGAAAAAATTGGTAAAAATATTTTTGACGGACAAAATCAGAAAAAAGCGGTTTTAGTTGATTGAAAGGAGATGGTACATGCTCAGTTTCCGAAAGATTATTTTCGGAGGGCTGCGTACATCCCCCTTCTAGACAATGTAATCACTGATCTTCAGGAGCGACTATCCTCAGAGACATTTATTTAAGCTAAGTGTTTATATTCCGTGAGTCACTTATACTAGTGAAGATTAAGAAACCGGTAAACAACTCGCAATAGAGTACCACTCTTGTGCCACTCAATAATAATTGTGAATTAATATCGGCCGTGGATGGCGAAATGACAGCGAGTGCAGAATATTCTGCGGTCGATTTCTACTCTTATTGAAAATTGCGATGACGAAATGTATCCCAACACGAAAATGTTCTGATGAATTCTTGCTAAACTATCAGTTAGTGTAGTGGCAGCAGAGAGGTCCTTTTCTACGCTCATTAGGCTCAAGACGTGGTTGTGGGCCTCTATGACAGAAAGTCGCCTAACTGGACTAGCACTTTTTTCATAACAAACATTATTTTATCACGATTGGAGTGTAGATTAATATTATTTGAATACAAAATGTGTGCATCTGGTTAGATATAGCGAATATAGAATGTCTTTAGAATGCTGCAATATTGGCGAGGCGTTTATTTGCTCTAAAATGTTAGATAAAGTAGTACTACGTTCAATACTATCCTCAAAAGATATGAAATAGTTTTAGCATTACGTTGTTCTTCATTTGATAAGTTAAGTCAAACTATATAAAGATTACATTTTTTGATATTTGAAGTTTTATAATACCAACCCGTCTCAATATTACCTCTGAACATCGGAAATAGGGACTGTTCACCTACGTCTAGTTCCCAAAGCGATGGTTCCCTGATGATATTATGAAACAAAAGACTATGCGTTAAGTCCAAATCCTGTTTTTGAAATAACCAAGTTTTGGCAGAGTTAATAATTATTATATGACATATTCTGATGTGTAAAAATCCAATATGGCGCCCATAAAAAAGACAAAGTTGATGATTGAGGACAAGAGGCGGAACGTCATATTGAGAGTCTAGCAGAACTGGGAAAAGCTTCCTCTTGTAGATTGTTCCACAATCTCGACACCCTCGGGACAAAGGAGCGGTCGTATCGGACAGTCCTGGATGTACGAAGTTCGACACGGTCAGGATGGGACGCCAAAGGCGGGTCTGTCTGGCAGGCACATCGCACGGCGGCATCATTGAAGAGAGGTCTGAGGAGCAAAGCCCGTTGGCGTAGCGATAGAAAAGAGCTAGATCGCCGACGGGATCTAGCTAGGACTCTTTTTGTTCGTCAAAGTACAGTACTGTGTTTTGGAAGCATTGAACTGTACAAGTTTGTTGCGGCCCCAAGCAGTGATAGCCTTCAGGTCTCTTGTCAGAGAGGAAGTCGTCGCTAGTCTTTTTTTTTTCCAGCTCAGCGGCAGAGATCGGCTTGTCACACAATTCCTGCATGTAGAGTGCTGTCATCAGCGAAGCTGTGGATTGGGTTGATCGGGCAGGAAAGGAGGTCATTGATATGTAGGAGAAATAGTGTGGGAGCCAAGACCGATCCCTGGGGAACACTCGCGTTGACGTTGTGGAATGAAGAGGAGAACCCATCAATTACGACGGATATCTTGCGGCCAGAGATAAAGTCAGGCACCCATCTGCAAAGCTTTTCTGGGAGGCCATAGGGTGGAAGTTTGCTTAACAGGGCAGCGTGCCTCAGCTGATCGAACGCTTTCGTGATGTCAATAGCAACGACATGAGCCTCACCTTAAGACTGGACGAGTTTACTCCACAATTGCGTGACGTAAGCTAGGAGGTCCCCTGTGGATCGTTGGTGCCGGAAACCATACTGCCTGTCGCTAATCAAGCTGTGACGTTCGAGGTAGTCCAGAAGGTCGCCATTTATGCACCCCTCCATCATCTTACTTATAACAGAAAGCAGAGGCATAGGCCTGTAGTTGTAAGGGTCTGTCTTAGATCCTTTTTTTGGGATGGTTGGAGACGAGCAAATTTCCAGTTTTCTGGGAAGGTGCCGGATTCATAAGATATCTGGAAGAGACGCGCAAGAACTGGAGCAAGCTCCACTGCACACCTCTTCAGTACAATGGCAGGAATCAAGTCCGGACCAGAAGCTTTGTTGATGTCGAGAGATAAGAGCACTCGTCTTAAGGTCTTATGCCTGAATATTACCTCCCGCATAGTGTAGGGAAGGAACTCTTTGAATTGACGGCACTTTAGCGTTGGGGGGAACGTCCATGGTGAAGTTGGCAGCAATGATCTTGGCTAGCACTTCCGCCTTGGCCTTTGAGTCGAATCCAATAGTTCCATCCTGACACGTAAGTGGTGGGAGGCCACTGTGTGAGAAGTTCTTTTCAATGTGCTAGGCCAGCGTCCAGAAAGACCGATTGCCATTGGTCTGCGACAGTACCCTGTGCCTAACTTTTATATAGTGCTGGTGGTTGGCATTGTGAACCGCTTCGTTATATTTGTTTCTGGACTCGGCTTGTCTGTTCTCTACAGTGGGGTTTTGTAAGAAGGTTCTATGTGCCTTGATCTTCTGCTGGCGAGCAGTGTCACACGATTTGTTAAACCAGCCGTTGGACCCTGGTTTAGGCACTTTCACTGTGTAAGGGATGTATACGTATTCCTCAACTCCGACGTGGATAGTTTCTGTTATCGAAGAACAGGCAGCCGACGCATCCGGGTCAGTGAAACATACATCTCTCCAAGGAAAGCTAGAAAAGAAGTCTATGAGCCCCTCCCAGTCGGCATGTCCATAATACCAAGTTTTGCGGCCTGTACGAGTTTCTGCTGCCACAGCGGGTTCTGACCGAAACCTAACCTCCACAATACCGTGGTCTGAATTACCCAGGGGGGACAGGGCAGCACTGCTGTAAGGGGGGACAGGATGCGTGGTCAGAAAGAGATCCAGCTGGCTACTGGCATGTGACGAGATGCGGGGGAAAAAAGTAGGGCTCGTCACCAGCTGGATCAGCCTCTGAGTAAGAGCGAACGCTTCGACTGTACGACCTGCTGCATCGGTCTTGTTTGAGCCCAACCAAAACTCATTGTAGGCATTGAAATCGCCGAGAAGAACTACCTCTGAAGCGGGGTGATTGATGTTCAGGAAGTCGATCTGGACGGCGAGGTACTCGAGTAGGTCATCCCAGTTATAATCTGAAGTTTTGGAGTTAAAGCGAAGTCCGAGGGAGAGCGATAAAGGCAGCAAATAAATTTGCGTGATGTTTTGGAGGTGAGGCGAAACCACAGAATGTCCTTCCTGTCTGATTCCAAGTTAAACATCTCTGGAGCGCACAAAAGCCACAACTCCCCCGTCCTTTCTCAGATTAGAGTGCACCTCGTAGTTTGGTAAGTTGAGATGGTTAATCGGTGTAGACTCTTGAGATTTTTATCTCCGCCAACAAAAGCATGGCGTGACGATTGGATTGCAAGTAGTGATGAACAGCATCAATGTTTCTGTTAATTCCGCAGATGTTCGAAAAACAAATTTTATCTTCGTTGTTGCTCCCTCGAGCCCACCTTCCACCCGGACGTTCCGAGAGTGGAGTGAGTTTAGGTCCGGATTTCTTAGTGCTCGAGGGATCCATCACCATTAATTTCTTTGTTTTGGAAGATAATGAATTAAAACCAGTTTGAGAAATCCAGTTTTTTCCTAAACTCGTAATTGCTAAACTATCTAAGTGCTATTTTTTAGATACTCCAAAGCCTTCATTCAACCGATTTCACATCTTTATCCTCTTCTGTCTAGTCTTATGTAACTTTTATGATCCAAAAGGCAAAAATAGTATCTATCTATCAATGGTTGTGCAGCCGATGATATGCGACATCGTGCCTGCCCCACTTTAAGGTTTGCTGAATTTTCCACCTGAATTTACCAAAATTCTACGAATATCTCTACTAAGTTCTCTCATGCACTTTTCACACTAATCTCCTACAGCGCCAGAGATCTCTTTCTTGGATTAATCTTTAAAGTTTGCTTCGGCTGCACCATGGAAATTCGAGCTCTCGCCATTTTTCAGTAACGATATTCAAACATTCGCACGAATTGAGCCTTAAGAACTTAACCAAGCAAAATCTTGCAAAACTGTTTAGGTTTTCACATTTCAATCAGGCATAGCGAGCTTACGCGATGACCTAATTCCCAATTTACATGCTCCAGAGGAAAGTGTTCAATACGTTGTACATAACACTTCATGGGCATTAGAACGTTAAACCATGATGATTGAAGAAGATATGGTCTATGTATTAAAAGTTAATAAACCCGTATTCTCCGTCATATTCATGCTTCCCATATTGTTCCCTACACACAACTATAGGTATGTCTAAAATATTGACCGTATAAACTTGAAGAATTCGAGATTGGTCCATTAAATTAGATGGAAATGCGCCTTTTGATTTTTGAAGTATTTGAATCGAACATTATTAAATGTATTTCCTATCGTACTCAATCATTTGGGGTACAGCGCTTTCCAAAAAGGTCACCTTCCACTTACTTTTTGAACGCGTCAAGTTAGCAAGCTCAAATTCGGGGGGTATCTTTCAAAATTACGGCTGAAAAAGTTGATCATTTTTGTACATTGAATCACTTCTTACTCAATGACTCAACTGCAAAAAGTATAAGTTTGACATTTAAAGGGTACCGATGAATGGCTTCCAAATGAGTTTCTACATGATTCTCATTCTATTAAGAAAACGCCCAGTCGTCACTTTGAAAATTTCAACTATCACTTTTGATTTCGTCACCTCAAATCTCAACCTTGACTTGACTACATAAATAAGACTAAAAACAGATAACACGATCAAAATCGAAACATGTACATTTTGAATCACATCTATAAAAAAATAATGGTATGGAGGTTTTCAGCAAGCGTCTTTCTGTTATAAGAACAGCATCGGACTGAATATTCCCCAGCTTACGTTTAAATAATACTGACCCCAGACAATTCGGCACGGGTATCATGTAAAAAACCTATGAAACGTCAAAAAAACCTATAAGATGTCAACTTGCAGACTAGGTACTTTTTAGGGCGCAAACAGTCATTCCACGTTTGCTCAGTAGGATCGTTGTGGACGGCCATCTATGGAGGAATCACTCAACCAAACTACATGCTTTATTGGTTGCATAGTTTTGTGAGGCTGAGCGATCCGTGTCTGTAGCTTTTATCTCTGAGAAGAAAGTTGGTTGAATAGCAAGTTCGCATCTGGATGATTATGTGTATTGGTCTGCATGTGTATAAAATCAGTGATATTTGCTGTGTGAGAAAATCATCACTGAATATGCTGAATATGACGGGTTCTTTATATGTTGTGCTTTCTGAATAGATGTTGTGTACGAGTATATTGTTGAAATTCAGCAAATTTGTATATGTAGTTTCCAGAATGTATAAGAAAAAGTTTCTGCGCAACTAATTTCTAGCTTTGAATCTCGATTAAGTGTATTTGAGACAAGAGTCCTATGGAATTATCATCAACACATACAACTTACAGCTTAGACCTCCAGTAATGCCATCTCTGCAGCAGTTTTAAATAATATCAGAGCCAAATATTGATAACTAAAGCCGAATGACGTTTAGACAACGAGTACAACTAAGTGCTAAGTTAACATCTTGTAGATAAGCCTACATAATGTCAAAAAATCCAGCGTAATGTCAAAAAAAAATCGGCATAATGTCACTTTTCAATATACGTGATACCCGTGCCGGAGGAAGTGGGCTAAAAAATGATTATCTAGTGTGAGTTTCTGATTGTTTAAAATATGTGTTATAGACTATATTTGAGCGAAGTTTAGCTCGCTCTATTCCACCACTTGTTAATGATGGCATATGATCACATTTCTACTTGAAGATTTACATGAAATATTAAAAGTTAGTGTTACAATTCTCTTTTGCGGTACACATACTTGTACATAATAAGAACGGCTGAGTAAGCAGATGCATAATAAACATCTATTAAAGCATCCTCATTTAAGACATTTTTTTAAAGAATTTATCAGGTAGTAGCTTCAAGCTAGTTTACCACAAACTGAATTTATATTATCATCCAGTATGAAAGGTGTGACATAAACAAACGCCTTAAAATTTTAGTGACTGTTGACCCGTACTAGCTCCGATTGAAGTTGTAATGAATGGTTGCTGGCGGGACTTAATTTTTTGTGAAACTCCATAGTCACGGTATTACTGAAATTCACAATTAAGCAGTTTTTAAAGCTCAAGTCATCAAATGCTTGCAAAACTGTTTATGTTTTTCAGGAGTTATAGGTGAAACTGCTGGTATCATCGGCATATACGGAAGGTTTACCTTCACTGATATGCTGAGGTAGATATTTCACAAACAAAAGAATAATCCAAGGATACAGGGATTTTGACTAATAAACAGAAATGCCAATAAACGATATCGCGGATGACATACTTAAGATTGAGATCAGCTTCTACGCGAAATTACTTCCTACGACTCTGGGCGAAGCAGCATAATTGCGAAATATTTTGAAAATGAAATATTATGTTTTTTTGATGTTATATGAAACGTAAATCACGGAAAACCATGGCTCTTATTTCCGTCGGTCTGTCTGTCTGACGGCCTGTCTGTCTGTTTGCCTGTGTGTCTGTCGTTCTATCTGTATTTATACCTGTCTGTCTGTCCGCTAATCTTTGGCCCGTCTGTAACTTCAGAAGTACCTTTCGGATTTTAATGAAATCTTCACACAATGTTTTAAAAATGGGACTTGTAGCGGCGGAGGAAAAATACAAAAACGAAAAAAAAATCGCTTAAATTACGTTTGTGACGTTTCAGAGGATTCTGACAACTTTCAGAAAAACGTTTGTAATGGTTGAAATTCGGGGCTTGGAGGTTATCTTACAATATTTATATGCTCCGAACCCCGGTAATTCTATACACCTATTAGCCATATTCACACATCACATTTCCGCCTTCAAAACTTAAAGTGATAGAAGATATTTTCGATCCCCCGTGCTCCTTATATTTATAAGCTCACTGCCCAGCGAACCGGTCTAGCTGACTAATTTATCCGTACTGCAGCATACGGACCACGCATCAAATGAACGATAACTCGCAGCAGCGACGTCGTGCTGAGGCGCATATGTGGCAAGGGACAACGATGCCAGATGGAAAGTAACTAGCGGTAGGGAGGGGACTCATGTTCATGGACTAATTGTTTGACTAGCATAATCAATTAACCTTCTCTGTTATATATGTTGGTAACTGAATTTTTTCTGTGAGGATTTGAATACGCGGAACTTAATCCTTAATCCTTAACTGACGACGAAGTTACGTAGAAACTGCAGAGTCAACTGACTTGACGCCATTTCAATATTTAGCTTACTAAATCAAACCACCTGTGTCCAGGAGATCTTGCATTGCGATAAACACGCACGTTTTCTTCTGTCTAGTGCGGTTTACACGTTCCGAAAAGTATTCGTTCCGTGACCGCTGCAAAATTGCTGCATGTGCTGCCGCTTCTCACATTTGGTTTTGTTCAAATTCTTCTGCTTTGTTTTCGCCGTTGCATATTTTGAACAAGTGCTTGGAAAACAGATATCATGAAGCCGAAGCAGCATTGAAACATTATTGTAAATTATAAAGCTATCCTGTATTTTCCTTCTGGAAAATTCAGGAAGAAAACTGATGGATCCATAGTTTTCTTCATATTCGCACACTAGGAATCAAAAAAGTACATTCATGTACCGTTATTATGAGTTCTATCTACCAGAATCGATCACAGGGAGAGTGAATGTCAGGTATCTATTAGAACTGTAAAAGTAAATTTATCTAGATCCCCACTTGAGATGGGACGTACATATTTTTTACATACTAAAGAAAATTAGATTCATAGCATATTAAACCTTTAGTTGAGCCGCACAGAACATATGGTATAGTAGTATGGGGTGCTGCATGCACGACACACCTAAATGATTTAGATGTGCTTCAAAGAACAATTTTAAAATCTATGTTTGGCAAATCAAAATTATACCCAACTATTGACTTATATAATCATGCACAAGTATATGATACTAAACAACTTTACTTCTTACATACCATTATCACAAAATTATTAGTGAACGCGACATAATTAAACATGGTCATACCACGAGATATAAATTACGTGCAAAAAATGTTCCTAAACCAAACAAATCTTTAATGAAACGATGTCATCTGTATTTAGCTCTAAAATTGTACGAACATTTACCAAATAATTTAAAAAAATTACGCAATACACTAGGTTACAAAAAAAAATTAAAAAATGTATTAACACGATTGGGAGAAATCACATTAATAGAATAATCTCAAATATTACTCAATAAATGCTCTATCATTCTTACCAATTATTTTTTTTCTCTCTATTTTTTTATCATTTGCAATTCAACATACATATGATCCATGCACAGGCGTTGTCCTCCTATGGATACATTATATTTGATTACTCGTTTCATGTTCCATGTATTTTAGAGTAAATAAATATTATTATTATTATTATTATTATCATTATTATTATTGGTTCGTTGTCCTACCACCAGACCAAGCGTACGAGTAGACCAAGCTGCCAATAAGCATGAAACAGGTGTACCCGCACGGGTATTATGTATCTTGAAAAGTGACGTTATATCGATTTCTTTTGACATTATACTGCTTTTTTGACATTATGTAGGTTTTTCTACAAGATGTGAACTTAACACTTAATGCCTAAACGGCATGAGGCTTCAGATATCAATATTTGGCTCTGATGTAATGTAAAATCTGCTTCAGAGATGGCATTACTGGATATCTAAGCTGTAAGTTGTATGTGTTGATGATAATTCCATTGGATTCTTGTCTCAAATACACTTATTGAGATTCAAAGCTAGAAATTAGTTGCGCATCCAATTTTCCTTATTCACTCTGGAAATGACATGCAAATTTGCTGAATTTAAAAAATGAGAGAGGTAATAAATAATTATATTCACTGTACACTGTCGAATTACAAGCCATATACATGTTAATAGTAGTTACACACTAGGCGGGCGTAGTGATGATTTCCCGTAATTATACTGAAAGTTTTTCGTAATTTATAACTTTGAACATAACCTGTCTTCAGAAAGGACAACATATAAATAACCCGGCCGGCACAGCTAATAGATATACTTCATTGGCAGCATATTTAGTACTGATTTTCCCACACAGCAAATATCACTGATTTCATACACATGCGAACCAATACACATAATCATCCAGATGCGATCTTGCTATTCAACCAACTTTCTTCTCAGAGATAAAAACTACAGACACAGACCACTCGGCCTCACGGAACATATGCAACCAATAATGCGTGTAGCTTAGTCGAGTGATTCCTCCATAGATGGACGATCATAACGATCCTAGTGAGCAAACGTGGAATGACTGTTTGCGACCTAAAAACTACTTAGTCTGCAAGATGACATCTGATAGGTTTTTTAACGTTTTATAGGTTTTTTACATCATATTGATGGTCTGCTCTCGGTTGGTCGGATGAACGAAAGCGGTATTGCTAGTTTGTTATGTGAGGTTCTGCAACCCCAATTCTTTTCTGACTGTCGCGTTAGTCTCACATCAAAAATTTTACACAAAATCGTTTAAAAACAATAAACTTCAACCAGTCCTCGCGAGCTTATGAATTGACCTAATTTCCGATGCAAACGCTCCTAAAGAAAACCGTTGGACACGTTTCATTCTCGGATGTTATAAATTAATAGAGGCGGAGATAATTAGATGAACAGCTGGATGGGAAGGGGCAGAGGAGAAGAAGGGACGAGACAAGTAATTAAAAAAGTTCAATAAAAGCGTAATGATGAGACACGTGCACTCTGAAATATCAGCGAGAATTACTTAAGCAAACACTCAAGCTGAAGCTGTTTTTGATACAGCTGGTCTATAACTCAATTGCCATTGATTTTACAAAAACACGTAGAATGTAGCGGTATTAATAATTATGAAGTGGAATTTTTGATCAGAAACAAAGTTGTAGACCGACTCGGAACACTAGTGCTACATGTAGTGGTTAGCAAAGTTTGGATCATTTCAACTTTTTTTATTATTCCCAAAACGTTTTTTGACTAGCTACGTTTTTTCTTTGTTTTTGCGCTCATAAATTCGCCGGATTTTAACTGTAATCCAGCAGCATACTGCTTCCTAAACTCGGTACAACCGCTATTAACATTGCAAAGATACAAAAAAGACGGCCACAGATGGAGTGATAGGCAGGCAGACTAACATAAATGAGTGATCTGAAATTTCGTGATCACAAAAACATCAAACAAATGCAAAAGGTACCTGAAATTCAGAAATCTCGGCAATAAAATACATTTCTACGTATTGCGTGGAAAGTAAAATTTGAGTCGTATAGGTTAAACAGAAATTTGGTTCCGGTAAATAGCGCAAAATCCATTTGAAAGATTTCAAAAACAATAAGCAAATAGCATCATCCTAAAATAAAGAAGTCACGTGGTGCTGTAAACATGTACGCCACTGATGAGACTGAACGCGGACAAAACATGAATATTGTTCAAATAACCCAGATAACATGGCTCTACTATTAAAAGAACACATACCTTAAATATTTGAATCTAAAGGAATATTCAAAAAGGTCTACAAAGGGACAACTCGTGTAAGATTGAATACTCTTTTCCAAAATGCACGAGATGCTTTAAAGAAAGTCAGTAGCGTAGAAGGTATTTTTCTTTATTCACATGTAGGGCTTAAATTTTCCTAGTATCTACACCGCTGGTTTACTCTACAGCACGACCATCAAGTCATCGTTGGTTGTCAGAGCGGTCCGTGGGACCTTAGCTCTTGAGTCACAGTATCAGTTTGTAAGTCTGTCAGGTCTGGTAACCTAGAAACCAGACAATGTTAAGGAAAAAAGGGAAGGAAAGGCGAGAAGGAAGAACGAGAGCAAAGGGGAAGAAGAGAATCTTTTATGATAGGCAGCGTTTAGGCATTCTTAAAATCACTTCACAGATTGTAATATGGTCTAAAAATAATCGATTTTTTTTTTAAGATTTTGTCAAAATGCTCCAATTTTGGTTGCTCTAAGTTCACGAATTAATTTTGGTTACAGTGCGAGCCGCGGCCTTTTGTGTTTGCGAACTTGCTCGACTGTGTAGTCCACTGACTCACGCCACAGAGGGTTGCTGTGCGATTCCGCTAGGCTATAGCGCCGCTGCGCCTGTTCCTTAATGTAGTCGTTTAGGTAAGGGACATCGAGGTCTCTATGTAGGGTTTGGTTAGAGACATATCATGGGGCGTCAGCAGTAGTGCGCAACGTCCTGCTTTGCAGAACCTGCAGA